AAGAAGAAGAAGAAGAAGAAGAAGAAAAGATTGGATTTATACCGCACCCTTCACTACCCAAGGGAGTCTCAGAGCGGCTTACAAACTCCTTTCCCTTCCCCTCCCCAAACCAGACACCCTGTGAGGTAGGCGGGGCTGAGAGAGCTCTGACAGAAACGGCTCTTTTTCAAGAACAGCTCTTGTCAGAACTACGGCTTGCCCAAGGTCATCCAGCCAGTTGCAAGTGGAGGAGCAGGGAATCAAACCCGGTTCTCCCAGATTAGAGTCCGCGCACTTAACCACTACACCAAACTGGCTCTTCGGGGATCAAAGGATCGCACTGCCTGTCTGAAGCATCCCCCCTTCTCACGCCCAAAGAAATCCAGAGCAAATCAAGCAACGTGGTGTGCTTACCTTCATCGCAAAGCTAGACGGCATCATGTTCTTGGGCCACTCGAATTCGGTGGAGTGAATCCGAATGCCGGATTCCAGGAGGAGCGTCGCCTTGCAGTCCGGCCTGTTGGGAGGGAGGGTGACAGAGAGGATCAGGGCCGCAGGGAGAAACTGCTGGCGCTCACACTGCGTTCCTTGCTGCCCAGCCTACATGGATGTGCCACAGAGCTACGTTTCCTGCTCTGGGAACGGCAATCTTGGGGCATTAATTTTTGATAAAGGAGGCAGAAAGTACACTGCTGTACCCACACACTCCGTGAGAAACTTGATTCGGTCTGCTGTTAGGCAGAGGTAGGGGTAGGATTTGCACTGGGTTTGGGAACAAGATGTATTTTCTAGGGAAATCCGCAACAACATTATCAGTGTCTGGAGTGTTGGTTTGGATCGCCGTTCCCAATTCTCACCTCTGAAGTGCAGTGAAATTAGAGGGACAGTCTTATGACTTTGAAGGGGATCAGACAAACCCACGGAGAGTAGATTTATCAGTATCTCCTCCTAGCCATGAGATCTAAGCAGAGCCTCAGTGTTCAGTGGAAGCAAACCACAGAAAATGGCAGCACAAACAACAAGGAAAGGATGCTGCTTTTGCGGCCTGCTTGTCAATTTCCCACAAGCCATTTCCAAAACAGCCAGTATTCTGGAAGACATGGACAGGCCTTTGGTCTGACCCAGAACGGCTTTTCTTATGCTTCCTCTCTTGCCTCACAGCATACAGAAAGTAATGTCATACGAAGATGAGCAGAGCCCTGCTGGATCAGACCAGTGAGGGTCCACCTAGTCCAGCATCCTGTCTCACACAGTGGCCAGCCAGTTCCTCTGGAGGGCCAACAGCAGGGCAGAGAAGGCCGAGGCCTTCATTAGAACATCAGAAGAGCCCTGCTGGATCAGACCAGTGAGGGTCCATCTAGTCCAGCATCCCATCTCACAGAGTGGCCAACCAGTTCCTCTGGAGGGCCAACAACAGGGCACAGAGGCTGAGGCCTTCCCCTGAGAAGAACATCAGAAGAGCCCTGCTGGATCAGACCAGTGGGGGTCCATCTAGTCCAGCATCCTATCTCACACAGGGGCCAACCAGTTCCTCTGGAAGGCCAACAACAGGGCAGAGAGGCCGAGGCCTTCATAAGAAGAGCCCTGCTGGATCAGACCACTGGTCCATCTAGTCCAGCATCCCATCTCACAGAGTGGCCAACCAGTTCCTCTGGAGGGCCGGCAAGAGGGCAGAGAGGCCAAGGCCTTCATTAGAACATCAGAAGAGCCCTGCTGGATCAGACCAGTGAGGGTCCACCTAGTCCAGCCTCCTTTCTCACACAGTGGCCAACCAGTTCCTCTGGAGGGCCAACAACAGGGCAGAGAGGCCGAGGCTTTCCTAAGAACATCAGAAGAGCCCTGCTGGATCAGACCAACGGTCCATCTAGTCCAGCATCCCGTCTCACACAGTGGCCAACCAGTTCCTCTGGAGGGCCAATAACAGGGCAGAGAGGCTGAGGCCTTCGTTAGAACATAAGGAGAGCCCTGCTGGGTCAGACCAGTGGTCCATCTAGTCCAGCATCCCGTCTCACACAGTGGCCAACCAGTTCCTCTGGAAGGCCAACAACAGGGCAGAGAGGCCGAGGCTTTCCTAAGAACATCAGAAGAGCCCTGCTGGATCAGACCAGTGGTCCATCTAGTCTAGCACCAGTTCAAAGTAAGAAATCCCACATTTAAGCTGATTCGATATCCACAGTCAGGACAGACTCTGTTCAAATGAACATGAGATCTCCTATTATGGGCACTAAATTATGTGCGCAGTAAAAGGAAAAGATGAAAAGGGGACAAGCCCACGATCTGCCCCCAATTTCACTGCACAAAAATGTGAGACAGGGAACATGAGTGATTAACACATGGAATTCACTGCCACAGGAGGTGGTGGCGGCTACAAGCATGGACAGCTTCAAGAGGGAACTGGATAAACATATGGAGCAGAGGTCCGTCAGTGGCTATTGGCCACAAGGTATAGATAGGAACTCTCAGTCTGGGGCAAGGGATGCTCTGTCTTCTTGGTGCTTGTGGGGGGGGGCAACAGTAAGAGGTCTTCTAGTGTCCTGGCCCCACTGCTGGACCTCCTGAGGGCACCTGGTATCTTTGGCCACTGCATGATGGACTAGATGGGCCATTGGCCTGATCCAACATTGGCTTCTCTTATGTTCTTATGAGTGAACAGTTCTGCTTGCAGAGCGGTTGCTTCCCCACGAGACTCTGGCCCTCTTGCGCAAGATACTGCCGTTTCCATCTCCTGCACCCCAAAACTACACGTCACATCCTCTCTGCGCCGCTCTCAGACTGTGCACAAACTGCTGACCGGCACGCATCCCCAATGCCTTCCAAGGACACTTCGCCAAACCTCTCCGAAGCTGTTTCACACTGTTCCAAGCAGGCTATGCAGGAGCAAAGCCCGCACCTGGACTCGTTGCAGGGACAAGAGCACCGCTGCCCAGATGGGTAAAATATAAACTGAAACAGATACATTACTTTAGGGAGGGGCTGTGGCTCAGTGGCAGAGCATCTGCTTGGCATGCAACAGAAGGTCCCAGGTTCAGTCCCCAGGTAAAGATCTGGTAGTAGGTGAAAGATCTCTGCCTGAGACCCTGGAAAGCTGCTGCCTGTCTGAGTAGACAAGGCTGACCTTGATGGACTCAGTATAAGGTAAAGGTCTCCCTTGCTCGAAAGCCAGTCGAATCCGACTCATCTCTATTTCAAAGCCGAAGAGCCAGCGCTGTCTGAAGACGTTTCCGTGGTCATGTGGCCGGCATGACTAAACACCAAGGCGCACGGAGCACTGTTACCTTCCCACCGAAGTGGTACCTATTTATCTACTTGCAGTTTCTTGCTTTCGAACTGCTAGGTTGGCAGGAGCTGGAACTAGAGACGGGAGCTCACTCCGTCATGCGGCACTCGGGTCTCAAACTGCTGAACTACCGACCTTCCACAGCCTGCAGTTCAGCGTCTTAACCACTTGAGCCACCGCAGCTCCATAAGTATAAGGTAGCTACCCGTTTATTATTTTTTTCTAGACATACTGTAAGTGGGAGGCCTTCGCACTTGACCCGGTTTTTCACATTAGGGTTCTGCCACAAATCTGTTCATGTTTTCATCTGTTCTCTCCTTTATCATTTTCCATAATTTCAGCTACCTACTTTATCTTGTTGAAAAGAACAATATTTTAAAAATACTGGAAACAGAACAAACAAGAAAAGTCAGCTCTTACTTCTGAAGACGGATGAGGTATGTCTTATTGTCCACATCATAAACGTTGTTTACTCTCATTCCCAAGAGGCTGCGTAGACAAACAAGACAAAAAAACCCTGTGAATACCGTTTGTCGTCCCTACATAAAGTCAGGAAAGAAAACTATACAGGAGCCAGTGTTCCCTCTAAGCTGAGTGTGAGCTAGCTCACAGTTTTTTTAGCCTCCGGCTCACAGATTCTTGTCTCAGCTCAGGAAGTATGGCTCCAGAGCAAACCAATTTATGCAGCAGCCAAATCGCTCGCTCACAACTTTAATGCCGGTAGCTCACAAAGTAGGATTTTTGCTCAGAAGACACTCCACAGCTTAGAGGGAGCATTCAGGAGCCCTTGCTGATTTTAAAAACAGAATCGAGAACTCACTTAACAAACAGATGTGTACAGTGGCACCTTAGAGATCATAAAAGATTTGGGGGGTATAAGATTTCAAGAGTCAAAGCTTCCTTTGTTGGGTACTTTTGAGAGCTCTGACTCTCAAAAGCTTAGACTTTGATAACAGTGCTGGTCTCTAAGGTGTTACAGGGCTTGAATCTTGCTCTTCTGCAACCCTCTGAAACTCACCCAACAAATGTTTGCTACAGGGACAAGTCTCGTAGCGGGTAAGAGAGGACAGTCCTCTTGTGGGGAATTCAAAAGCTGAGTTTTTGAGAAAAATGCAAAAAAACTAGGAGTCTCAGGCCACCTTAAAGATTTAGCAAATGCACTGAAGCATCAACTTATGCAATCTGAGGGTGCATTCACAGAAGCATCATGTCCAGATCAAGGGAGGTGGTCGTTCCGCTCTATTCTGCTATGGTCAGGCCTCACCTGGAGTCCTGTGTCCAGTTTTGGGCACCACATTTTAGGAAGGATGTTGACAAGCTCGAGCGTGTCCAGAAGAGGACATCCACATGCTTCTCTATCGAGGGCTTATGGTGGTGGGCCTCCTGATGGCACCTGATTTTTGGCCACTGTGTGACGCACGAAAGCTCATCCCCTGCCGCAAACTTGGTTAGTCTTTAATGTGCTACTGGACTCTAGCTCTTTTCTACATAATAAAAGAGTTTACAAACAGATGCAAGAACAGAATGACATTGGCACACATAGAGAGATTTTTTAAAAAACAACCCGATATCTCTGTTAAGCCCTGGGGGTTCCTGCTTCCCAGGACAGAGTTTGCAACCCTGTGCCCAGACAGTAGCGGCCAGCCAGCAAAACTGCATGCTTCTCAGGCCGACCAAGCCTCCCCTCCCAAGAGTCCCTGATTCAGGAAGAGGGCGTGGCCTCAGGTCACAAGGGGCGGGGCTACCTGTCTGCCAAGAGACCTACCTGTGGCGGAGCTCGGCTATCACCGCCCGGATATCGACGGTGCAATTTCATGGTGGACAGAAGGCCGCGGCTGGGTCACCGGTGAGCGAATCCCGTCAGTCTGTCAGTCATCGGCCCCCACCTCGGCCGCGTCGCTCACCGCCATCCAGCCGCCGGCCCTGACAGGCGCAAGGCAACCAACACGCATGCGCGCCCACCTCCGGGACTACGGCGGCCCAGCGAGACCAAAACTCTTCTGCCCAGAACTGCGGAGCGCCTCCTTGGGAACCAATCGGAAGGTTCCTCTCTCCCTGAGCGGCAGTGCGGGCAGCTGGAGCTCCCGGACTCCCTCTGCAGGAGGGCCTGGGAATAGCAACAGCCGGTTCCTGGGCATGTGGGACGTCTGTGACAGCTGTTTAGATTTTAAGAGCAAAATACGTGCTGGGGCTCACGGCTGCCTGGACTCGGGCCTTGGAGCATGTGATCAGAGGAGCCCCCTCTTGCCTAGGATTGCCAACCTCCAGGTGGGGGCTGGAGATCTCCCGGAATCACAACTGATCCCCGGACTACATAAATCACTTATTACTTATTCAAAACATTTATTCCACTTCTCCTGGGGGGAAATGGCTGCTCCAGAAGCTGGGCTGGATGGCATTGGTTCCCTGACAAGGTCCCTCCCTAAGCTGCACCCAGAAATCTGCATGGATTTCTGAACCCAGAACTGGCACCCTCCTAGAGCTTCCTTCCTCCAAAGCTAAGACCCCAGATTCAAAATAAGCTGCAAGAGACCACTGGCTGTAGACTGCTGCTACCTCTGGTTGCAGAAACTCCTGGAGGTTCATGGGCGGGGCCTGGGGAGGGTGGGGGAGAGCTCAGGGGAGCTGTGACGGCTTCGGGTCCACCCTCCAAAGCTACTATTTTGGTGTAGTGATTAAGTGCGTGGACTCTAATCTGGGAGAGCCGGGTTTGATTCCCCACTCCTCCACAGGCAGCTGCTGGTGTGACATTGGGTCAGTCACAGTGTCAGACTCCTGGACAAACTTGCTGTCAACAACCCTTAACAAACCGGGTTTGATTCCCCATGCCTCCACTTGCAGCTGCTGGATGACCTTGGGCAAGTCTTAGTTCTGACAAGAAAGACACACAAGTAAACCCTGTGAAACGAACACTATTAAGAAGATTTATATAACTTTTTAGACTTTATAAAATTGCAAAACGTTTTTTCAGCAATCTCAATTACACAATATTGTAAAAAAAAGTCCAACATAGTCCAACATTATGAGTACCCGGTTATGAACTCATTTCAACTTTACAGTCTTCCTCAGATGTAATCCTATATTGTAAGGAGGTGTCAGCTTCTTAATCCATTTCAGTATCGTAATTTCTTTCATAATATCCTGGAATAAACCACAATCAATGAAAATTCACATGTAGCTGCATCTCCAAGAATTTCCCTACCCAGAGCTGGCAACCAACCTTACCGGGCTCGCTAGATTTGCCAGGTTTGTGTCGGGAAACACCTGGAGATTTGGAGGGGGTGGAGCCCGAGGAGGGCGGGGTTTGGGGAGGGATTTCATTTAGTGATGCCAGCCTCCAGGTGGGACCAGGGGATAACCTGGAATGACACAGCTTTGTGTTGGGAATAGAGATGTGAAGGCTCGGGGGGAAAAATGGAAAAATTTGGGGGGAAAACGTTTTTTCCATCTTTTTCCTGAAGCCTTTTTTCCCCCCTGAAAAATTGAAAAAAGAAAAGGGAAAGAAATGATTATGTAACGTTTTATTTTAACATGATGAATGAAATATTTTAAGACAAGGTGTTCAAATATTTTCCAAATCATTTCTAAAAAATATGTATGGTATCAGATTGATCTGGTTTCTGTGCACTGAGGACAAGCAAGTCCTAGGTTACAAACTGAACTCTCCAATGCAAGAACAAGATGCATTTCTTCCTTTAGTTTTGTTTTTGCATGTGGGTGGGTATTCTGTTTGTAATAATTGTCTGGATACACTATATTTTTAATAGGCTAGTTGTGATAATTTCATGCCAAGTAAAAATGTCCAGTTATATTTTATGTTCCTAAAGTAACAGAATGACTTTCAATCTGGAAAAGAAAAAATAAATGCTACTGTAGCATTTTTTTTCAATTTTTCCGAAAACGGCCGTTTCCCCCTGTGAGACAGAAACTCTGTCCCTGATTGTGTTTGCCCAGGCCAATTTGAGAAAACACACAAAAACAAGCAGTCTTGTAGAGCAGAATTTAAAACTTTATTAATAAAGGAGGGAAGCACGGGCTCAACAAGATTTTGGAAGAAGAAGAAGAAGAAGAAGAAGAAGAAGGAGGAGGAGGAGGAGGAGGAGGAGGAGGAGGCGGAGGAGGAGGTTGGATTAATGCCCCGAC